GGGAACAATATAACATTTGATTAGAGTCATTCAAGATGATAGAAAACTAATTTGTTCTTTTATTTGTGATTTTTATTTTATCGTCGCATGAAAATTATAATATTTTATTTCCACATTTTATAATTTTACAGGAGAGCAGTTTTAAAAAATTAAATATCTAATGTTTTCAATAGGATTGCTAGGCTAATATCGGATTTAATTTGAATTATATTATAAATATTTAGGATTTTTTAAGATGGTATAATTATAAAAAATTGATTCATATATTAAAGTCATTTTTGACAAAACGTGGATATAGAATAACCTAATTCTCATGCGACGTTATATAAATTGCAAAATAATTTATTTACCTCAAATAATTTTAAAAAATAAATAAAAATCAGCTCTTAATTCTGATAAAGAACTACTAAAAGATTCGATAACAGCCTATTCTGTTATAGCCAAAATTGATTTTTACAAGAAATTTGAAATATTTGAACCCCATTAATAATAATTTTTGAAATACAAACATACAAATGATTATATCAAATTTTAAAATATATATAATCTTTTTTTGCTTCACCACATCTCGGTCATCTATATTTTATAAATATGTGAAATTTTCTATCAATGTAGCAGTCATTTTTTCTGTTCAATCTTTATATACATCGAAAATTCTCCAAAGATTAACCCAGTCCTGCTCGTTCATAATAGGCACTGCCCATATTTTTTCTAAACTCAACTATAATTTTTTAGAGTTAAACCCTTTTGGAGGCATTCATCTAATTATTCTATTTCCAGTGCGTTCTATTTTATCTAAGTAAGCTATACAGCGGGCGAGGACTTAATTTTAAAATGTGTTCTTTCATTTCGAGGGGAGCCAACTCATGGAACTCTTTTAAACACATCAAATTCTTGAAAGATCAGCTATTGCATTGTATATTAATTCCAAATCTAAGTAACAAAATTAGTCCACATATAGCTTTATTTGTGCTGCAGTAAATTTTTTTTTATTTATTGGACTGTAGTAAAAAAGTATGACCTTTTAAGGAAAGCGGAAAATATTAAGCGCTATAGGAAAAAGAAAAATAAAATTGCGCTATTCTTGAAAAGAATATTTATAAAAACATTTGAAAAACTTACTCTGCATTTATAGTAAACGCGTTATCTTCAAGCATTGAGTTATTTAATGCAGCGTTATTACAGCTGATTCAGTTTTAAAAACTAATTAAAGATAAAGCTAAAATAGAAGCAATTCAAAAATCATATATATCTTTTTAGCGTTCACTATTATTTTTATTATGGCATCGCATATTTTTTATAACGCATCGCAGCACATGTTTTTCAAATTTTATCATAGCGTTTGAAGTAACGTGTTTACTATAAATAAGTCTTTAATAATTTAATTTTGTCAATCCAAAATAAATGTTAAACAAAGTCCAAATCCGACTAAATCGAGAGAATATTTATCCGAGATCGACCTACCGGAGTTCTGTTGGTCGTTGGACTCGAATTGGATTTAAACTTGAAACTGTTTGTAGCTCTTTCACACACCTTTTTTAGAAATTTCTGAGGATGATTTTAAAGAAATAGAAGAAAAAATAGACAGGTAGTTTTATCAGTATATTTAAAAAAAAGGCATTATAAATTTTAAAAATATGTCTATCCTTATTTCATATCATTCCCATGTAAGGAATAAAGAAGTTATCCTAACCCCTTCCCCTTATTTTGTCCTGTTTATTAATCAGATTTAATTTCTTGTATTTTTTCCTATAGGTGGGATCTACCACACCCTACTGGTTACACATTTGGTAAGAGGAGAGGTGGCCAAAGATATCTTCAAGAATTTGTTTGCCGTAAAATTTAACGTTTATTTAATGTGATGTACCTTTTTTAAATAATGATATCTCAAGTTATAAAATTTATGTATTGTGGGACTTGTTTTGTTATAATAATTTGTGGAAATAGGTAATGTGTGCACTAATTAGTGTTGTTAAACGGCTCAATTTGAGCCGATTTTAAAAATGGCTAACTCAATATTTTATCCAGGAAAATGTCTAAGCGATTTTGCTAATAGATGTCCAAACTTTTGTGCCATCTATGAGTAAAATTAGGTTTGCGCAATATTCCGAATAAAATATCGAGTTAGCCATTTTTAAAATCGAATCAAATCTAGCCGTTTAACACTAACTCTAATTTAACAAATCAATCACATTCATAGTTGTTAAAGTAGAGCTCTGGTTTTATTTGTATTTGTAGCGATAGCTAGCGTGCTTTTTTTGAGAGTACAATTAGCAAAGTATTTGTATTATGAAATCTAATCGGAATTAGGATTTAGTATTTATAATCTTAGATCAGAAACAGAGATTAATGATATCGAATGATACAAATAATATTACAGTGGAAAAAGATAGTGTTCTTAATAATAATATTGTTATTATATGAATAAAACATCAAAGCTGAATGTGATTCATTGTTTATTATTTCACCAATATTTTTATTGTTTAAATGGCCTTCTTTTTCCATTCTTCCATTGAAATCCCTGTACAGATTAGGCGTATATGGTAATGTTGTATATATTTTCATAGAATAGCTTTATTAAAATTTTATTATTTGTTAGAAAATATAAATATTCACTACAGTGAAAATTTTAGAAATGAAAATAAAACTCTAATTGGTTCAGTATATAATTAAATATTTTACTTAAAAATGGGAATTTCAAAATGAACCCTTTTTTAGGTATTTTAAAAAAAAATTCAAAATTTTCATGGGGCTCTTCAAATATTTCAGGGGGCTTATGTCACTGTGTGCTCCCGCCTCACCTCCCCCCCCTCTTTGTGACTCTACTGTGAAACAATACTTTTCGAGAAAATTATACGTCTTTTCATATTGGAAATATGACAGGTGAATTTTTAAAAATGCTCTTCTGTAATTTAAGATAAGGAAACACTATAATTCTCAGCCAGTACTTTTTTGAAAATTATAGATTTTAGATAGCCATTAGATCTCAAAGTTAGATTATAAATAAATCATTAATTTTTTGAAACTTTAGATAAAGCCCATGAGTATTAGATTATAGGTAAGACTTTACCTAAATTAATTTTCTAATATTTACTGCAAACCTAATACTACAATCAGTTATTCTTGATTTATGTTTTTTTCCTACTAATTTTTTTTATTGAGCAATTAAAATACTATTAATTCTTAATGATATCATATGACGAATAAAAAAAATTCATTATTAAAAGGTAAAGACAGAAACTTAAACTATAAATCAATTTAATAAAATAAATTTAATTATGATGATTAATGCATGATATTTTTATTCAAATTGTATATAACAGTTATTTCTGATTTACATTTTCATTTCTCATCAGATCAGTCGGCCTTTGGCTAATTATTGAACAATTACTATAATTCTGGATTTCGTCATATTGTGTAAACTAAAATTCAAAAAAAATATTAAAATAAAATTATTTTTTAAAAAATCAACTTTTAGATATATCATAAATAATGACTTGATTGGCCTTATATTAGTGATCACGAATAAAAATAAGTGTGGGATTTGAAAAATTGCAAGCCATGTTTAAAAGGAGTTAAGGAAGAATTTAGCGAATGGCATATAATGGGTTACCTTCAGAAACCCTAAAACCATTAGGTAACCCGATAATAGAAGTGTGCAAGGGGGCTGGTGAATTAAAGGTATTACTGAAATAACGAGCGAGCGAGTCGATTTAACATATTTTATGTGCGGAATGAGCAGATCGGACTTTTTGAAAATAATGGGCAGGCGGATTATTTATTCCAGCCATTTAGACCTTTAACCGATCCCTACCAATAAATCTTATAGAGCTTAAAATCAGCTATTAAACAATATTTCTAGATTGATCAATATTCTCCAACCTATAAAAAAATGCCCCTGTTCTTGAAGCTTTCAGTGGTACAAAAGAAAAAATGAAATTCCAATTCTGAACCACTGTTGAATACTTTCGCCAAATTCCTGCATTAGTTCCCTTAGAAAGACGAATTATCCGATGCAATATAACGAATGCAAACCATATCACAAATAAATCTTCTTAGTTTCCTCAAACATGACACACCTCTAAAACAGCATTCAAACTACATAAATGAACTATTTAACAAACCCAATATATCAGCACAAACAAGAGCTCAAAAAATACATTTGTAGACAACCATAGATGAAAGGACTAACATTATTAAAGAGGATGTAAAGCAGAGTGATCAAACTAAGGTGGAAAAATATAAATTGATACCATGGGGTGATGACTGATGAGAATCATGACTGTGGCAGATCTGATATTTTATTGATTCTTTTAAATATATAGCAGTAGCTTTGTGAAAAAGAGTTAAAGCAAAGTGGAGGGTTAACATTTAATTTTTTTTTCCAATAACAACAAAAAAGGGGGGGGAATAAAATTTTATCCAAAAATTAGCAAAAAATGAAAAATCTAAAATAGTTTTAATAAGGGGAAATGGCAGAGATTCTGAATAGTTGGTCAAAAAATTTTGAGAAGTTCACCATTTTTAGGGGGTGGGCTTTCCTATGAACTTTGAACATACCTAAGACGTTTTAACCATATCAAATCAATTTTTTTTTCTCATGCCATAAGAATCGTTATGGCAACTTATCTGTAGCCTATCTTTTCGATTTCCCTCCTATTTTCGAAGGAAAAGACAGAAACCCTGAATATACGACATTATAATATTTTTAATTTAAATTTTAGCAGAAAAAATTTATATGTAAATATCGCTTTTATTTCAAGGAAAAAATACAAAACTTTATTTTATTAATAATATTTTTTTTAAAAATTATTTATTGGTTATTTGGCAAAAAAATTTGATTTTCAACACCTTAAGAAATAAAAATATTTTTTTCTTATTTAATTTTTTTTAGAGAAAATGTCAAAATTTTTTAAATATTATTTTTGACAAGATGATTAAAAAATTAATTACTATTCAATTTGATTTTCTTTATAGATTTCTAATTTCAAGAGATGATCATCAAAATTATATTTCTTTTTAAATAAATAATTACTTTTGCATAAATTATGATGTTGGAAGGATATACTAAAATATATAGTATAATTGTGTATAAATTTATTTAAAAAAAATTTATTATCCATAAAATTTATTTTTATTTTCGACCCAAAGATACTTTAAGTAAAAAAAATTGATTAAAAAATATCCTCCTATAAGTAAGTGAATTGAAAATTATAATACATTTTATTTAAATTGAATTTTAAAATGATATATATAATATGATTAAAATAAAATTGGGTTTAATGTTGTTAAACGGCTCAATTTGGTCCATTATTAAATTAAGATTTTAGCCTAATATTAAACAAGCCTGGTGATTTTGTTAATAGATGTCAACCTTTCTGCCATCTATGAGCAAAATCTCCGGGCTTGCTTAATATTTTTTGGCTAAAATATTGGGTAAGCCGTTTAAGACTATCATAAGTATTATTAACAGGAGGGGTGGGGGGGGGGGGGGTGGGGGGTTAATAACGGTTTTGTTTTTACAAAATAAGATAAACTAAAACCCTGTGAGTTGGCTCGAAACCAGATCCGGCCAATTTTTATTTCAAGAGATCGAACTGGGTTAGGGCTTAAATATTTTTAAAGGTATATGGTCATTATTTTCAGTTTTAAATTTATTTGTTTGAAAACATTTTTTTTTCGAATTCGGAAAATAAATTTGATTTTGCATAAAAATATATTCCAGAATGTGTAGAATGCGCGCCTTATAAATTTCTGACAATTTTTTGAACCTATTCTCATAGATTTTCTTAAATATAAATAAAAATTTATTCCAAGATTCTTGATAAAGTTTTACAAATTGGTAGGATTGGGTCTGGTGTTAAACAGTTCAATTTTTAAAAATGCCGAGAAATTTAGAAATTTTTCTCATAGATGGAAGGAAGGTTTCAACATCTATTAACAAAATCATGAGACTTGCGTAATATTATTTATGTTAAAATCTTAATTTAGGCGAAATCGAGCCGATTAGCAACATTATTTCGGTATAATCATCGGATATTTTAAATTAAATAAATCCTCTTATATGAATCATTTAGTGGTGAGTTTTACCCCAGTTTAGTCAGGTGATGATACTTTATAAAGACCATGATTAGGCCTTGTTGGGATCAGTTTTTTTTATCGTGTGGTGCAAAAATATATTGCTTTTTTTTTGAAAAAACGTTGCCAAAAGGGAATGACCCAAGTAATTTCAAATTTTTTTGGAGAGTATATTTAAGTTTCTTCGAGATTAAGATCATTTAGTCTCTATATAAATTATTTTCAGAATCTAATGTCTTGCCCCAATTCTTTTTAATATGATGGGTATCAGATTAAATTTTTTGGGTTAAAGAGGGATCCGTTAAGATAGGTAATATTTTCTTTAGTCAAAGCTCTCCTAAGTCTTTTGGAATATCATACCCAGAATCCTATATTTGTTTAATAGCTCTTAAGAATTAGCGTTGAGACAGTGTTTTATGATAAAACAAATCTAATTAAAATAGATCGTCTTTTGATATTATTTGATAGTCTAAAAAAATCGTCAGTTTTCATCAAATGAATTAGCATAAGCGTAATATCTTTAGTCCCATTTTTAATAGGTGAGCAATTAAACGTCCGCTTAAAGCTTAAAAAGCTTCCTTTTTTACGCTACCCGATGTAAATATAAAAACGTTATTAATTAAATATTTGCAAATAATTTTTAATGATCATCTTGTCTTTAATGACGCGTGGATAATTTCCGAAAGACCAATTTTTCTAAATATAATTTATATAATTTTAATAATTATAGAAAAATTCGTTAAAATACCCTACTCTTCCATTTATTTATTTATCTTATTTTTGCATCGATTTTTTTTACCTTTTTTTGAAATCTCATTATAACGGATGTTAAAATTACTGATCCAAGATAGTGGATTTGGATGTTGACCATGATTTTGATTAAATTTATTGACAACAAATAAAGGGACACTCTAAATTTAGAAAAACATATATATTTAAAAAAGAAAAGTAAAAAAAATTTGCTAGTTATTCCTTATCAAAGTTTTTCTCTAATTGATATGTTAAATTTAAAAATACGTTATTTAAAAGTTATATTAATTAAACTGTATAAAATATATACCTATAATGTCGAACTGTATAATAAACTAAATTTGAATAAACATGATTAGAATTCTTTTTTTATAATCCTACTAATCAGTCCAGGTTCGGGTAGGCTAGATTCTAATATGCTTCGTCCTTGATGGACGCGTCTGATATTTATAATAAAAAGAACTAGGCAAAGCTTTGACGTATGGTTATGCTTATGGCACGTTGATATCAATGTCATTCATATTTGCATTGATTATTCATTTATTAGAATATTATGAAGTCCGCCTGCAGCTGACTTCAATATATGTACACTTTTGATAAAAGAATCGTAAGCCCGGGTTTATCAATGTTATATATTATATATATATATCAGAGACCTGCAGGCCCGGCCAAGTTGTATTTTAATTTTTTTTAAATTTACCCGGGCTGGGCCTATAAATTTTTTTAAAAAAAGATGAGCCGGGCCGTATATTTTAAAACATAAATTTTAAATCGCCATTTTAGCTGTAAAAATTTTAAAAAAATAAAATATATTTTTAAAAAATCCGGGCCGTGCCTGAAAATTATCTTTAAAAAACCCGGGCCGGGCCGAAAAAAATTTTTAAAAAAAATCAGGGCCGGGCCGAAAAAATTTTTCAAAAAATAATCCGGGTCGGGCCGGGCCGTACAAATGGCACCTCTGCAGGTCTCTGATATATATATCGAAATAATATGTACATATATAAACCAACAAATGACTGCTTGGTCAACCTCGCAGCCCTTCTTTCACAATAATTTAAAAAGGATTGACATCATATTGTTGTTTAACAGGTATAACATATAATATTTTCATAAGATATCATATAAAATTTAATATATAATCTACGAATCTACATATAAACATTACTAGATAGACATTGTATACTATTAAAAGTTATATATATAATGTAAAAATACACAATTACAACACGCCCACTACTCACAGGCCACGTGTTACATCCTCACCCCCCCCCCCCCAATACACACTCTTTCATATACTTCCCAAAATTCACTTCGTTTTGCATATACAAGTCACTTAATAACTTCTCACAAAAATATAAGGTTTCCTTTAGAGTCAAAGTTCATCTGTTATTCTTCATCTTAGAACCAAATACATTTTACATCCTAATCTATTAAATCACTTTAAATTTTTCATTTCGCTTCATAGTTCATCGTTTACCATCCTAACATAAATCATCTGAAATCACATTTATTATGTCACAATGATAAAATAAATTTTTAAATGCAGCATATTTATCATATCACAATGGTAAAATTTCTTTAAATTTATATGTTTTCACCTATATCATATCACAATGATAAAATTATGGTTCAACTGTAACGTAAATTTAAATTACTAATTTTCAATTTTATCTTTTTGCACAAACTTTCTAAATTTAAACGGCTTTAGATAGTTTTTCTCTTTATTAAATCATTATAAAAAAATATATCAATATTTGTATTTAGAGAAATTTTATTATAGCAAAGAATATCGTAAGATTCTATTATTGAGTATGTGATATTAATATTTTAAAGTAAGTAAAGTATATTACCCATTAGCCATTTGAGAAATATAACCTGGTCCGAATAATTTTCTCGATATGTGAATTTTGTCTCAGATAGATATATAATCAAATTTAAAAAAAAACACTTATGAGGCGAAGGCAGATGGACGCGAAAGAGTTCTTAAAATCTAGTCAGATGATGAGTGAATACATAGTCAAATATTTAGAAAATATTCATATTCGACCAGTAATTCCTGATGTGGAACCTGGATTTTTAAAACATTTGATTCCTCTTGAAGCCCCAAACGAAGCTGAAAATTGGGAAAACATAATGTCGGACGTAGAATATAAGATCATGCCCGGGGTAAATTTAAGCAATTTATTATAATGTTTTAAAAAAAAATTAAAATTTACATCATTTTGAAAATGAAAAATTACGATTACACTAATTTCAATTGATAAGTTTCATTAAACTGGGAAAAATTAATTTCAAATTTTATGAATAAGTGATACAATATTCATTAGTATTTTACGATAAGTGTTGTTAAACGGATCGATTTGAGCCAATTTTTAATAACGACTAACTCAATTTTTATTCAAAAATATATTGCACAAACCTGAAGACTTTGCTCATAGATAGCTCAAAGGTTTGGACATCTATTAGCCAAATCTTTAAGTTCAGGCAAAAATTTTCGGGCTAAAATATTGAGTTAGCTGTTTTTAAAAATCGGCTCAAGTCGAGACGTTTAACAATACTATTTTCAGTACTTTCTTATCGTATTCAATTATTTTACTGATGCATTATTTTTAAGAATTAATATAAAAATTAAATTTTAAATATCATTCTGAAATTTCCGCTTCCAAAATAGAATTTTTTTTGTAATTTTTATAAGATAACGCATTGGCAGCACCCCGGATTTTTCGCCTATTTTCCGGCCGGAAATTCTTATCCATCTATACTAGCTGACATGCTATCTGATGCTATTGGTTGCGTTGGCTTTTCCTGGGTAATATTCTTAACAGACTTCTGTATAAAGCAATTTTTTTAATGTCATATCCGGAATAATCTTTTTAGGGCATGGGCCAAATTAATCTAAATCTTTTTTTGGAATGGCCCATCCAGAGATGATATTTTTAAGCCCGGCCGGCCTCCAAATCTTTAAAATGAGTCATTTTTATTAATTTTGCATGTTTAAAGTTTTTTTTTACAATTTCCCTATAATTTTTCTTTTCTTCTTCTGTATAATATATTTTTTTAAAGGCTGCTAGTCCTTCTTGCACAGAGTTGGAGACCATCATCTTAGATTGGCTAGGTATTATTTAGATAAATATATAGTATTATATTATTTATGTTGTATATATATATATAATAAAGATTTCTTTTGAACTAATCTAGATTACAAATACAAATATTTAATTACAACCCTAATATATAAATATTTTCTTTTCTATATTTTACTACAAAGCCAAAATGCTTCATTTGCCTCAACATTTTTTGTATCACTTACCAGGTAGTACTGGGGGAGGTGTTTTACAAGTATATATTAGGATATATAAATATATATATTATTATTTTTTTAAATGTTTAACAAAATAAAAGTTTGAATTATACAGAATTTAAATAGTAATATATAACTTTATTAAATTATAAAATATTTATACCAAATATTTATATCGATTTACAGGGATCGGCAAGTGAATGTATCTTAGTGAGTATGCTAACAGCTAGAAATCAAGCACTAGAGAGCTTAAAACAAAAATATCCAGAAGAATGTGGCGGCGTCCTTTTAAATAAACTTGTTGCATATTGTTCTAATCAAGTATTCAACCGTTTCTTAAAATATATCTCTTCAATATCGTTTAATTTATTTTAAAATCTATATTATATAAAATAAATTAATCTAAAAATGTATATATAGTTCATTGAACTTTACTCTAGAATTCAATTCTCATAAATTTTAAAGAAGTATCCCTATAGGAAATATGAACTCACAGTTAATAATAAATTTATCTAATGTCCTATTTATATGAAAGAATTTAAAAATTTTTAAATATTTATTTCATTTATCAAAGGCCCATTCGGCCGCTCATAAAGCTTCAATAATAAGCTTTGTCAACCTGCGTGGTCTTAAAACCGACGATGAATTTGCGCTTAGAGGACATGAATTAGAAAAGGCTATACAAGTATTTTTTTTTATAAATCCAATTAAAATAATATACAAAAAATTTTTAAAAATTTATATATTGTAGGAGGATATCAAGAATGGATTTTTCCCTTTTATGGTAATATTATTATAAATTGTTTATGTTAACAAAATTAGGTGCTTTAAATAACTTTATAAAATTAATTATTTTGAAGGTGTTGGCGACGTTAGGCTCCACTTCTTGCTGTTCTTTTGATAATATAAGAGAAATAGGGGAAATAAGTCAAAAACATGGCATGTGGTTCCACATCGATGCTGCCTATGCGGGTTCAGCATTTGTATGCCCCGAATTCCTACCCTATTTGGATGGGGTAGAAGTTAGTATAACATTTTTTTTTAAATGAAAGTTTATTTAAAAAATATCTGGAATCATTTTTTATTTATAGGAAATGTAAATGGAAATGAAACCCATTTTTTAAATTAACAAGAACCTGTTATGAAACCGTTTCTAGAAAAAAAAAATGACTAATATATATTATAATGTTCAAAATGTTGGGTGATTTATTTTAAAAGAATTTATTTATTTTTTGAATATTTTTAAATTAATTTTTTCAATGAATAGTGGAACCGGAAACAGAACCTGAAACCTTTAGAAACACGTCAAATCTTAGAAACAGGAACCATTTTTTAATCGGAACTATTTCTTAGTCCAGGTTTCAAAGTCTGGACTTTTAATTAGTAAAATATTCTGAACCGAAAACAGAACCTAGTCTTAGTTCTGAACTCTATAAATTGATCGCATCACATGGTAGAGGAGTTATTTTGTAGTGTTCGTTTGCATGAAAGTTTTATGTATATTTAGAGTTAATATTTTAAAATGGTAATTATGGTTTACAAAAAGGCATATATAATTATGCTCATATTTTTTTGAAAAAACATTTATAGTATGCCGATTCATTTAACACTAACCCTAATAAATGGATGCTGACAAATTTCGATTGCTCCGCATACTGGTATATACCTCATTGCATTGTTTGTAAACATAACAATAGGATTATTTTATGAATATGAATCATAATTACTAGGGTAGTAAACTCGTAACTAAGGGGACATGGGAGTTCGCCGTCTCTATTAAATTTCTATTCCAAATGGTATTATTGATGCAAATCTATTTTTCAAAAGTAAATTTCAATTTAAAAAAAGGGTTTGCGATTTGTCGTACTTTTTTAATAAAAAAAATACGTGTATCATCCCTTTTTTAAATTGAATTTGCAATTTTATTAAGTATATAGTCAATTCAAAATTTTAACTAAACTATAAAAAGGAATTAATTTTTGTAGATAATATTATGGCCTGCCTTTTGATTTCATTAATTTTTAAATATTCCATTTTAAAAGGATAATAATTTTTTTACGTTTTATTTTACATATAAATAAATATCTAGAAATAGATTTTTAGACCCCTCCCCCCTTTCCCTCTTTATTATTCTTACCTGAGTAACAAGATTTTGTGGGAAATATATTAACGTGCAAAATAATTAATTAAAAAAGTATTAAAAAAACAAACCAGTTTGCGTTTTTTAAAATGGTTTCTAACACCAAGCATTAATTTGATCATTTGAATGATGATAATTGAAATGCATTATTTGCAACACAGCGTTTGATGCTTGATTTGTGCGCACTTTAAATTAGTTGCACAAAAATTTATTAGTAATAAATTATGATATATTTTATATTAGTATAACTTGTTTGTATAAAAGTCATTTTAGTTTAATATATAATACATTACATTAGCTATATTAACTTACAATTGGAAAAGGGGGGGGGGGGATTAAATAGTCTAAGTAAATATATAAATTTTCAAATAGGATTTTTGAAGAAGTTTCGTCATTTAACATATTATACTATTATTGAACTTGATTTATATATATTTAAAGGATTAAAAATAGAGACATTTTGATCAATACCTTGAGTGAAAACCCGGTTTACCTTCAGCATAAAAATTCCGGTAATATTATACAAATATTTTATATAAATAATTCTATGAATTTTTATTTTAAAGATAAGGCTGAAGCTATTGACTATAGAGTAATAATAATAGCTATTTATATCAAATTAATCGATATGACTATTTAGCATTGGGGAATTCCATTAAGCCGAAGGTTTAGAGCATTGAAACTATGGTTTGTAATCAGGTCTTATGGCCTATCCGGCATCCAAAAATACATTAGAAATGTATGATAATTTTTTTTATTTAATTCAATTTATCGTCTAATCTATTAAAGCATGTAAATTTAGCCAAATTATTCGAAAGTTTAGTGCGAAATGATCCTAGATTTGAAATTTGTGGGAAAGTTGTGTTGGGACTTGTATGCTTTAGATTAAAAGTATTTTATTTGAAATTTTTGTTACATTATTTTTCAAAAATTAAATATTGGAAGGGGGGCCATGGATGTCCAATGTGGAGGGAGGTGGGGATGTCTACCCCTCGAAGTTCTCTTAAATATCATCTTAATCTAACAAACTCCCCCCCCCCCATCTACATCACACATTTCAGCCCCCCCTTCCCCTTAAAAGTGTAAATATATCACTCTCAATAATTTGAAAGAAAAATCAGTAAAAGTTGAAATTTTTTTCAAATAATGCATAATTCATTTTAGAAAAAATGCATTCCCCACATTTTAGCAAAATCCTCGTTATGCCTCGGGGGAGCATGTGAAAACTATGGATTTGTATTTTTTATATAATCTCTTATTTATAAAATAAGTAAAAGAGTTTCTTCCATGTTTCATCATAAATCAGATATATATTAGATGAACATTGTTATAATGAATAATATTTTAAAGAGGTGGAATTCCGTAAATTTTTATTATACTTAGATGGCCAAAGGTAAATTTTTTATTAAAATTTGCAATCTAATTTTTGGAGAGTTATTTTAATTATGCGGTAGTAATAAAAATATCTTAAACCAGAAAAAAATAATCATAGCTTTAATTATATAATAGTCATTTTTAGCGGGGTTTTTAAATTTATTTTCACGGTGGAAAATTTTAATTTAACGTTTTTTTTTTCTCTAAATTTAAATTTTTTTAAAAAAGGGCCATAATGCCATTAACAAACGACTTTTGGAATTACTTAACAATACTGGGAAAATTCATATGGTTCCTGCTTCACTATGCATCGTATCCAAATCAGAAGACGAACATATAATTACATCTGATAATACTCCTAATAACAACCTAAATGATTTATACGAAAAACAAGATGTTTTTGTTTTGCGATTTGCTATTTGTAAAGAAAACGCGCAACCAGACGAAATAACTTCAGCTTGGAAATTAATTCAAATGATGGCTTCTTTTATATTGAAGCGCCGTACAACAATGAAAGATGAGATTTTGGGAATCTCTGAGCCGAATACTAGAATTTTGGAAACTCTAAGGTATTGCGCCAACACTGAAAATCTGACCGAGCAACTTAAGATAGATCATTTTGTCAATTCTGAATTAAAGGATCATATGCACGCCCATAACAAATTTCATAATAAAACTAAGAACCAAATGGAGGGTAGATATTTTGTCAGTAATCATATGAATTCAAAATTTTCTCCCACGAGGAGTAAGAATTTCTTTGAAAATAATACCAAAAACGGAATCAAAAGTACAACTGATATGTGCGATAAGGTTTCAGTTTCGAATTTACCCAATAAACGAATCTACGATAGCAGAGGAGTAGTCGAATTTAATGATATTATCAAGAGAATTCTTTTAACCCCTAAATTATCGTTCAAGAAATTTCTAGAATTGGAATCTCAACAAAAAATTATACACAAATCACAGATAAAAGCTCCTAAATCTCAAAAATCGATGCAAAAGCTGCTAAGAATTAGACGAAGTTCTAGTACAGATTCATTAAGCCCATCACTAGCTCCCGATGATGAAGTCATTTTCGCAAACGACCTGAATGACTTAGATGAGATTCTAATTAATTCAGACGACATCAATTTAAGAAATGACTTGGGACTAAGGCGAGATTCTGTTGTAACTCGAAAGGTTAGTCAATATCAACCATGCGTAGGAGATGTGACTTTATGCCATGCAAATTCCCATCCCGGGGTACGGGATATATCCGAAAAAGGTATTTCAACTTTAAATAGGTCTCAGGACGATGATATGATAAAATATCCTATAGAATTTAAAAAACGGGGTAAAAGCGCTTCCCTAGATATAGGAATCAATAAGGATAATATTTACATGTTGCGTAATCATTTAAATGAACTTCTCCTGAAATTAAAGCAAATTTGAAAAAGAAAAGAAAAACGTCAGAATTACTCATTTGGGAAAATTATAATAAATATATATTAAAGTGCTTCGTAATCAGGAATATTTAAATTATAAATATTAATATTGCAGGCGACTTTGGCAAAAATTTTTAATTCATTTTTTTTTAAAATCGTTTTTTGTGAAATAAATTCAAGACGTCTTAAAGAAGAAGAAAAAAATATATAAGGGTATTCAAAAGTATAATCTAGCAAAAAATAAATAATAATGTAAATATAAGGTAAGGTGCTGAGTAAGTATGGCATGGTTAATCTAACGCGTTACTTTATCATCTGAAGTAGCAACTGACTAACGCTGCATTTATTAAGTGCGTCCAGCGCTGCGAAATTAAATCGTTAGCGAAATCACAGCTGATTCGTCACAACGTTAATACTTTTTGAAATATGCATAAAAAGATGTGGCTAATCTCATCATTTCAAGCACTATTTACAAAAGTAATTACTTATTATTGACATGATTTCGCATCGATCTAACGAATAGCGTTTAATATAAATGCAGATCAAAAAGCTTTTATTTAATTAATTTAGTAAATGCCAAATTACACCCAAGCATATAGTATATACCTTTGGTTGCGGAATATCTAGGGGGGGGGGGGGGGTGGATTTAGAAACATCTGAAATGACCACCTCATTATGAGCTTTGACACATAATTTCTGTAATGAAAAGGAACTTGAAGGACTTAAATTAGCTTTTTAGAATATTATAATAAAATCCTTAATGTTTAAATATAAATATTTAGTATTTTCTAGCCATCTCCATATTATCATTCATAAGATTTAAACCCGCTTAAATGACCTCAATTATTCTTACTGGAAAATAGTTAATTAACTGTTGAGAAGTTCCTGATTTTTTTTCAACATCCTCTGAATTGTTATTTACAAATCTGCCGTTGCGTTTTGTAAATATTGTTTTCATAACTCATTCCCCATAATTCTCTACATATTTCCAATTTGATTAAGATCAAGATTAGGTCTATAGAAAATTTTGCGATTTTATTCAATTCAAAAAATTAGACTCTAATACGATAAAAAAATTCGATTTAGTTTTACAAATTTCGATTAAATAATTTCTAATTTATTCGTATTATTCTAAAATGTTCGAAAATAGTAAATTTTTAAATACATATTCGAATTATTTATATACTTTACAATTATTTTTAAAAAATTAAAATCATTCTTATAACAAAAATTTAAAGAGACCCTTATAATCTTTTTATTAAGTAAAATATCGTATAACATAATAATTGTAAAATATCGTGTAACATATTAACATTATATAAAAATATATTTACTTTAAAAACATTAAAAAATATAAAAATCTTTTTATAAATCTAAGCGGTTAAACATCATGTTTTTTAGTCCGGTTTCCAAAAAGTTGCCAGCAATATTTGAAAAAGAATTTAGATTTTTTATGGTAGAAAGAGAAATTCTTTTGTTTCAATAGTAATTATCTTGATTTTTAAAGGAGAAAAATGCCTTTGTTAATAACGATTGGAATGAAATGAGTAGGAGAAAGTCGTGCAATTACATATTTTTAGTCTATTTAAGATATTGAATATTAAAATAAAATGTGTCTAAAAGCTAAAAGAAGAAGGAATTAAGAACTTTATGTATTTTACAATGTGAAAAGTTAAAAAATAATTTATAAACAAATCTTTTGTAATTTTCATGCATAAAAAATATTTCAAGATGAGATCAAAATTACTGAACAAAATATTTGAAAAATATTACTTTCAAAAAATTGAAATATTCATTCGAATTGTAAGAATGCAAATAATAATTATTTGAAATGCATGAAAACGAATACTAACTAAATTATTTTATATTCCATTTTCGGGAGGCAAGACTTAAAGATCATTCCAATGCCATTATTCTATTATCTAACTAACAACTATATTGATTTTGATAAATGTTATGGTTTTGATAGATTCCTATTAAAAATATGCATTTTTTTTATTGGATATGTTACTTAGATGTTCCAATTTAAAAAACATTCCATTAATAAAACACCCCCCTCCCCTATTTAAACACTCTTCATTTATGCTATCTTAATTAATACTGAATTTATGCACCTATATATTCTAAGTTTAAATGGCTAAAATCCGATATTTCGCAAGCCCCGAAGAAAATTCGCTAAGCTTTGAGGCGCGAATTTGCTTAATTAGTAGAATTATAATTTTTAAATGGGAAGCTAAAAATACAGCAATTATGTGCTTATGTTTTAATTAAAAATAAATTATTTTAATATCGTGCAAATTGGTAAACTTTCGCGTTTAAAAAAAGGCAAAGTTGTGTTTTTTATTTTATATTACCACCTTAATTTCGACAACGCAACGTTTTGTAGAAATATAGAACACTAAAGACTACTGCTCCAATTTGTATGCACTATCCTCTGAACAATAACAACCCACTAACTAACTATACCAGGCACAAATATTATTATATGTACAAAATATATTTTTTCAATGAAATATAAGACATGATAACAAACCATTATAGATATATAAATTACAATTGTATGAAATTTGCAAAATTTATGTTTTATAATATTATACATTATGGTTTAATTTCTTTGTTCAGCTTTGTGTTTGGGGGGTTTAAAAGTTTTAATAACTTTTTTCTTCTTTTTTTCGTTGTTTATACCGCTATTGGCGAATACGGTATAACAATTACCCATCATGATGTTATCGTTGGAAGTTGTACTTTTTGGTGAGTTGATTTTCTTGGCAGAGGCGCTTGACGACGAAGTATTCGGATTAGATTCGTCATCCAAGTGATCGCCTAATTTCCTTTTAAATTTCAGCCATGAGTCTATTCTAATCTCACGTGTATCCTACGAGGGGATTATAAAGATATTATTTTTTTGTCGATAATTAAATTGTAAAATATGGTATATTACATTATGATGATAATTCTAAAGCAAGGTTACAGATCTCATGAATTAGCCGTGGATTTTATATCTCGTGTGCTGACTCCAAAGGTCACCAATTTTGGTTAGTGTTGTTAAACGGCTCATTTTGAGCCGATTTTTAAAAACGGCTAATTCAATATTTTATTAAGAAAAATATTCTGCAAGCCTGAAGATTTTGCTCATAGAAAGAACAAATGTATAGACATATATAGTCGAAATCTCGAAGCTTAGGCAATATTTTCCTGGCTATAATGTTGAGTTAGCCGTTTTTAAAAATCGGCTCAAAACGAGCCGTTTAACAACACTAATTTTGGTTGGTCTCACTACATTATAATTTAATAGCGCACAAAAATTATCCATAAGACAATTTAAATAAGAAAAATTTGTTATAAACATAAATAGCATGCTTCCTGCATATTAAAAACAAGCCTCTCAAGAGTATTTATAAATTAAATTAATGCAACTCCTTGTTTTCTTTTTTTTACTTTATTGGATAATACGACAATTTCTAATGACAATAAAAGGCACAATAGTTCAAAATAGAATAATATAATAATTAAAAATAATGTTCGCTTTTTCCCTTCTTTTATACGATTCTTTTTTTCATCTGATCATACATAGTATTCTTCCTCCTCCCACATATCCTCCAATTCAGCATCAGTAACGACAAAATCAAGACAATTTCCCAATTCTCCTTCAAAAAATCTGGTCCAATCGCTTCCAATAAAACCTTCTGACTAGTATCAAATTCTAGTAGTTCTAGCTCCAAACCAGTTGGCGTCGTCTATTATTAGGTGGCTCGATTCTCTCTCTCCACCACCTTCATTACTGTTCATACCTGGGCCACTTAAGCTATCTGCCTGGCCATTCGCCTCCCGCGCTCCTTCGATCCTACCAAGTTGGTTCACTCCGATGGCCGCCAATCTCTGCTCTAGGCATGGGTCGGACAAATCTAATCGGCGTCTCCATTGGCATTAATATCTACTTCATAATCTTTGAGACATCCCACACAAGAAGCTGCTGAAATTACCCTAATTTTTGCACTTCTTCTTGCACCTTTTACCCATTTCCACATAATTATTTTGCAAATCAGGTTTTTTAGACAAATCTTGCTTTTATTCTTCAACCCCCATTTAATTCAACCGATGGGCGAGCGATGCTGATGCTTCCGATGTCATCAAAGGGGATATATACGGCATAGATGTCCACTTGAGGAGGCAAATGAAGGAAAGCGAGTGAAGACGCCTATTAGATTTATAACCGCGTTCCGACCCAGGCAGGTAGCGGAAGTTGGTGGCTATCGAAATGAACCAACCCCGCAGGGTGGAAGGAGCACGTCGGAGACGAGTGGCCAGATAGTTAAGAGAGGAAGTGGCTCAGGTATGACCTGTGATTAATGTGGCGGAGAAAGAATCGAGCCACCCAGGTAATAGATGACGACTGAAACAGTCCGACGCCAGCTGGTTAGGGTCTGGAGTCACCAGAATTTGTACTAGTCAGGAGTTTTCATAGAAAGAAATTGGACCAGAAACTCTTGAAAAAGAGTTGGGGGATTGGCTAGATTTGTTTACTGATGCTAAACTGGAGGATTTGTGGGGGAGGAATACGATATATGATCAAAATATTTAAAAAAGAAAAGAGAAAGGGGAAAAAGAAACTTAAATATTTTTAATTATTATATTATTCATTACCTTTCAATTTTATTGTCATTAGAAATTGTCAAATTATCCAATAAAGTTAAAAAAAAGAAAACAAAGAGTTGTATATTTTTAATTCGATATATATATATATATTATAAATATCCTGGAGAGGATTGTTTTTAATACTCCAATTCTTTGTATTTTTTTCAATATGAATATATTTAATTTAAAAAAATTGCAGGTGATGGAGTTAGGAAAAATTCTAAAGTATAAAAAAAATAAAAATTTGGAAAAATATATTGATTGAATTCAAAAAATTTCCACCATGGATTGTCCATTTTAAAATATCACCGTTTTACTGCATAGAGGGAGTATAATTAATAATTTAGTTGTGTTAGGGTCAGGAAATAAAAACTAATTTATAAATAAATAATTAAAAATAATGTCATGGTTTACCTCAAAATTCTTATTCCATTCTATATCAAATTGTTTCTTTTCTTCTTCAGATAATTCCAGTTCCCTTTGCCTTTTTCTGAATTTGATAAATATGAAGTATATTATTATAGTACCAATACAATTATAAAATTATTATAAAGGAAAATTATACAATAGGACAAAACTTAAATAGTGTTAAATTGATTCAACCCAAATCCATTCGTAAGAAGAAAAGGCTAGTCATTCATTAGTCATTTATTTAAAATTCAAAAATTGTAACATTAAATTTTATTTAACAAATTATCGTGTTGCAAAATATATTTTTATAGGGTATGACTAAATACTGAATTGCTAAAATGAATTGCTAAAAAGCAATTAATCATAATCAATCAAAATTTTATTATGTATATTTTATTTAATGAAAATTTTTAAAACTTTTTTTAAAATATACTTAAATTATTTTTTTATTAAATGAAGGATACTAATTAAATATCATATAATATATAATTTTATTTTGAGTTAATATTATTATAAAAGAAATATTTTCATAGCTTATTAATACATAAATAAATTTTTTTCAATTTTAAAAATTAACAAATATATATCCGTAAGTGGGCGTTATATGCGTAAATATGTAAGTATCATTTTAGGAAACCGGAATGATGATTAGATAGCGCTTTTTTTATATTTGGGTATATATACATATGAAAAACCTAAAAATTAAAAAAAAAATTTAGATTTCTTTGATGTTTAATCTATGAGTAGGTTTAGAATAGTAAAATAATGGAAATATTCTAAGGTAAATATTGCTGGCGTTATTTATCAAAATCTCTTAATTTTTGTTTTATATGTGTATATTTACGTGCTAAGCATTATCCTAAAAAATTTTTTGAAAATAATTTGATTTGACCGATTGCCGAGCTTAAAACCGACCATTTACTAAATATTCGATTGACCAAATTTACTAGTAATACAATTTGAAAAATGTTGATTTTCGTTTTATGTATCTATAAATACGTGTAAAACATAATCCCAAAAAATATTTTTAAAATATCGCTATTTGGCGGATAACCGACTCGTAGCCCACCCAATGACTAAATAATGAATTGCTGGCGTTTTAAATCAAAATATCTTAATTTTTGTTTTATATGTGTATATTTACGTGCTAAGCATTATCCTAAAAATTTTTTGAAAATAATTTGATTTGACCGATTGCCGAGCTTAAAACCGACCATTTACTAAATATTCGATTGACCAAATTTACTAGTAATACAATTTGAAAAATGTTGATTTTCGTTTTATATATCTATAAATACGTATAAAACATAATCCCAAAAAATATTTTTAAAATATCACTATTTGGCGGATAACCGACTCGTAGCCCACCCAATGACTAAATAATGAATTGTTGGCGTTTTAAATCAAAATATCTTAATTTTTGTTTTATACGTGTATATTTACGTGCTAAGCATTATCCTAAAAAATCTTTTGAAAATAATTTGATTTGACCGATTGCCGAGCTTAAAACCGACCACTTACTAAATATTCGATTGACCAAATTTACTATAAATTCTTAGTTATAAATTTATATAATTTTTGTATTAACACTTAAAATTTATGCAATACTATATGCTAAAGTATTTTTATTTTTATATAATAAATAAAATCTATAATACTCTCTAAAAATGTGTTATGTGCAAATATTTCAGATAATTTTAATTGTCTAAGAGATAAGCAATTGAGATTCAAAAAGGGGAGTTTAAACCCCCTCCCCATGATTATATTCTTTCTAATATTTTTTTATTTTCCTTTATTATTTATATTCGAAATTATTATATTTTCCTGAATATTTTAAAAATATTTGGCATTATTTTAAAAATAAAAAAATTTGAGTTAGAAGTATATAAAAAATAATAAACAAATAAATAAATAAATACTTTTAAATAATAGCCGTTAAAATTTAAAATTGTTTTATAATTATAAATCATATTTTTGCTATTAAAATGTCTGATCTGTTCTCAAAGTTTTTATTTTGGTAAAATATATATTTAATAATATATTTTAAAATTTTATTATAGGTTAAAGGAAACGGTTATCCGCCAAATAGCGATATTTTAAAAATATTTTTTGGGATTATGTTTTACACGTATTTATAGATATATAAAACGAAAATCAACATTTTTCAAATTATATTACTAATAAATTTGGTCAATCGAATATTTAGTAAGTGGTCGGTTTTGAGCTCGGCAATCGGTCAAATCAAATTATTTTCAAAAAATTTTTTAGGGTGCACGTAAATATACACGTATAAAACAAAAATTAAGATATTTTGATTTAAAACGCCAGCAATTCATTATTTAGTCATTGGGTGGGCTACGAGTCGGTTATAGGCCAAATAGCGATATTTTAAAAATATTTTTTGGGATTATGTTTTATACGTATTTATAGATACATAAAACGAAAATCAACATTTTTCAAATTGTATTACTAGTAAATTTGGTCAATCGAATATTTAGTAAATGGTCGGTTTTAAGCTCGGCAATCGGTCAAATCAAATTATTTTCAAAAAATTTTTTAGGATAATGCTTAGCACGTAAATATACACGTATAAAACAAAAATTAAGATATTTTGATTTAAAACGCCAGCAATTCATTATTTAGTCATTGGGTGGGCTACGAGTCGGTTATCCGCCAAATAGCGATATTTTAAAATTATTTTTTGGGATTATGTTTTATACGTATTTATAGATACATAAAACGAAAATCAACATTTTTCAAATTGTATTACTAGTAAATTTGGTCAATCGAATATTTAGTAAATGGTCGGTTTTAAGCTCGGCAATCGGTCAAATCAAATTATTTTCAAAAATTTTTTTAGGATAATGCTTAGCACGTAAATATACACATATAAAACAAAAATTAAGAGATTTTGATAAATAAAGCCAGCAATATTTACCTTAGAAAATTTCCATTATTTTACTATTCTAAACCTACTCATAGATTAAACATCAAAGAAACCTAAATTTTTTAGGATAATGCTTAGCACGTAAATATACACATATAAAACAAAAATTAAGATATTTTGATTTAAAACGCCAGCAATTCATTATTTAGTCATTGGGTGGGCTACGAGTCGGTTATCCGCCAAATAGCGATATTTTAAAAATATTTTTTGGGATTATGTTTTACACGTATTTATAGATATATAAAACGAAAATCAACATTTTTCAAATTGTATTACTAGTAAATTTGGTCAATCGAATATTTAGTAAATGGTCGGGTTTGAGCTCGGCAATCGATCAAATCAAATTATTTTCAAAATTTTTTTTAGGATAATGCTTAGCACGTAAATATACACATATAAAACAAAAATTAAGATATTTTGATTTAAAATGCCAGCAATTCATTATTTAGTCATTGGGTGGGCTACGAGTCGCTTATCCGCCAAATAGCGATATTTTAAAAATATTTTTGGGGATTATGTTTTACACGTATTTATAGATACATAAAACGAAAATCAACATTTTTCAAATTGTATTACTAGTAAATTTGGTCAATCGAATATTTAGTAAATGGTCGGTTTTAAGCTCGGCAATCGGTCAAATCAAATTATTTTCAAAAATTTTTTTAGGATAATGCTTAGCACGTAAATATACACATATAAAACAAAAATTAAGAGATTTTGATAAATAAAGCCAGCAATATTTACCTTAGAAAATTTCCATTATTTTACTATTCTAAACCTACTCATAGATTAAACATCAAAGAAACCTAAATTTTTTTTTTAATTTTTAGGTTTTTCATATGTATATATACCCAAATATAAAAAAAGCGCTATCCAATCATCATTCCGGTTTCCTAAAATGATACTTACATATTTACGCATATAACGCCCACTTACGGATATATATTTGTTAATTATTAAAATTGAAAAATTTATTTATGTTTTAATAAGCTATAAAAATATTTCTTTTATAATAATATTAACTCAAAATAAAATTATATATTATATGATATTTAATTAGTATCCTTCATTTAATAAAAAAATAATTTAAGTATATTTTAAAAAAAGTTTTAAAATTATTCATTAAATAAAATATACATAATAAAATTTTGATTGATTATGATTAATTGCTTTTTAGCAATTCAGTATTTAGTCATACCGATTTTTATACATTATCCAGAAGAATATTATGCAAGCCTGAAGATTTTGCTCATAGATAGTGAAGGTCAACGGTCCGGTTCTATCGGTCTTAGACCGGGACCGGACCGATCTTTTTATTTTTATGGTCCGGACCGGTCTTTTAATAATATTTACGTTTGCTTTACTATTCAATTAATATAATTTTTTAGTATTGTATATTATATTTTATGATATTTTTCTAGAGTTATTTTAGATTTTGTTAATTTTTATTTTACAATATGAAAACCATAAGTTTGTCCAAGAAACATTTTACTTATAGTCCCAATAAAAAACATAGAGTATGTGTTCACTGCAATACCTAATTTAATGTACCGTCAACAACAAGTAACAAAATAATTGTTTATAATTTTTTAAGCAATAAATTAATCAAAATAAGCAGTATTATTAAAATATTTTGGTTATTATTTATATAGATCCATTTTTTCTTAAGAAACTGTCTGAATAATTTATTGTCAAAATAACTTAACCTTATTCTTAATAAAATAATTAGGTACCTTAAGAAGACATCTAATAAAACATAAAATATATACTTCTAATGATGAAAATGAAAATATCTCAAAAACACAATCTACTCTTAATTTTAATATGCCCTCCACAAGCACAAAATCACTTTCTTCAATACCATTGGATAAATTTCAAACTGAACATATGAATCAATTAATAATAAAATGGGTAATAATGGACTGTCTGCCAATAAAGACTTTTGGTCTTCATAATTTAATCAAATATTTAAACTCAACTGCTACAATTTGGTCTAAAAAACAAAGTAAAAAATTTTTATACAGCTAATTTTGAGAAACTAAGAAATTCTTTAAAAGATATTTTAAATAAAAATAATTCTTTAATAAGCTTTACCACAGATATGTGGAGCAGTATAAATAAAATTTCATTCATAGCCATTACTGCACACTTATTGATTCTTCTTTTACATTAAAAAATATTTTAATTGATATAAATCATATCCCATTTCCCCATACTTCTGAAGAAATATCCTTAGCTATAAAAGAAGTAATTGATGTATATCAATTGGAGGAGAATATACTGGCCTGTACTACAGATAATGCCAATAACATCCTAAAAAGCATGAATATTTTGAAGAATATTTATTAGCAACAAAAATTAAAGTCCCTCTTCTAATTCCTTCCATGGCAGTTCTACAAAAAAAGACATTAGCATTTATTTAAATTAAATATTTGTATTAATTATTATATTATTCATAATTAATTTTATATTGTTTATATAATACTCTTATATTTAATAAAATGATAAAACAAATTAAATTAGGTAAAAAAAAACTTTTTTATTTAGGACTACGGTCTGGATTGATTTTATTTCTTAAGGACCGTGGTCCGATCCGGTCCGAGGGTATCGGTCCAGTCCGGACCGTGACCTTCACTACTCGTAGATGGCACAAGGGTTTGTAAATCTATTAGCAAATCTCGAGGTTTAGGCAAAATTTCTGGCTAAAATATTGAGTTAGCCGTTTTCAAAGAGATTTTGCATCACTACCTACTCATCTCATATACTTATCAATAGTATAATATACATAATTCAACTATACGATAACATGATAAATCACTTATTTAATAACATTAATCTATTTACATAATAAATAATAAACAAATATATTATGAAATTTGAAATAAATATTTTTTTAAAAAGAGGATGCCATTTTATAATGGCCGTTAATTGATATTTAAAAATGATATATCGGCCCGATCCGATAAAAAATATAGGTACATCCCTATTCAATAAATATTGGAATCTCAAGCTTCGACAAAATATTATCTTCAAATTTTTTCCAACTTTAAATCATTTACATAACGTGTGAAATACATAACCTATAAATAGGCAATTTTTATAGGGATATTATACGATTAAGCATATTACCGATAACTATATAAATTAGTTGTACTTTATTTAGAACCCGTATATCGGTTCATAGATAAAATATAATGGGTTCTGTCTGATTATAAATTTTGAGGGGTTTTGGTGGTTCCAATTCTTAGATTTGTTGCGGTTAGAATTTCCGTTCCCCAAACTCTAATTTTTACCAATTATAAAAATGTAAATAGCAAAGTATTGTTAGATATCACCAGGGGTGTGAACCAAAATAGGGTTCAGGAACAGAGTTGCCAGGTCCCCCTATTAGCGGGAGACTCCCGCAATTTTTTAGTTTACACGCAAAAATTTCCCTCCAGCAAAATCGTCGCAATTGAAAAATTTCCCGTAATTTTAAAATTTATCCCGCATTTTTTAGAAGTTTAAAGTTTTTAATTTATAAATAATCATTTTGAGAAACGGTATTTCATTATTTTTCTATTTTTTAAATAAATTTTAAATTTCTTTTCAAAAAACATGTCTAGTTTGTCAATTTCCCTTTCTAATATGTGTTATCCAATAATAAAACAACATCATTCATTCATATTTTATCATTTTCAATATTCATTTAAATACATAAGTAATATCGTACTTATTTCTAAGATAAATATTTTATTTATTATAGTTCACTTGTGTAATTCATTATTATTATTATATAATCAGACCAGTTATTTAAAACAGCGTTGAATATTTCAGAATTATGAAGAAACAATCATTAATTAATTTCCGTTTCAAGTTCAACAAATGTCAAGCTCTACCGAACTACAGCTACATCAGAAAATCTTCCTGGTAGTATAAATTTTTATTATAATATTTTGTCACTTAGTGAGGAATTAATGTTCCAATGTTGTTATAATTGATGTCCTTTTGAATGAAGCAGGTATTTTAACTAAAACAATTTTAGAGTATTAGTAATCAAAATTTAATTTTAATATCTATTTACAAATGTATAAATGTGATGACCGTGGAACAGAATACCAGGAAGATTTTCTGATGTAGCTGTAGTTCGGTAGAGCTTGACATTTGTTGAATTAAATGAAGCAGGTATTTTAACTAAAACAATTTTAGAGTATTAGTAATCAAAATTTAATTTTAATATCTATTTACAAATGTATAAATGTCGTGGAACAGAAACCATCAATTGGATTTTGTACAATATAAATATTAAAAATACCGATATATATTGTTGTTTTCTTTGAGGAAATTGTTATGCTCTCAATTTTTTATGATACTCCAGAATAAAACTAAAATAAATGGTCTAAAATCAGAGGAGAAATGGGCAGAATTTTTTGGCAATAACGATAAATCCTCATGCTTGGAAAAAATATGCGAGCATGTATTCTCCTTACCTCGTTCATGAGGACTGCCTGGAGAAAGGAGAGAAATCGGATTGCTCTAACAACTTTAGAAGCCGAGCTCATAGTTAAACAAAATTATAATATGTCATGCCCACAATTTTATAAATAACTAAATAACGACGGTAAACGTTTAGTTCCAATATTTAAATCTCAAATAAAATATAATTAATATTATAACTACAAGCTAATCGAATTTTACATATTTTTTTTATATTTTATAAAAACCTTATTTATACATTCGAATAAAATAATCTATTTTTTAAGTTATAAAATAAAGATCGTTGGTTTTTTTAATATAAAATTAATATATTTTATTAAATAAAAATGTTATTTTAATAAAAAGATGTTACATTAAAAAAATATTTGTCTCATTTGATAAAATTATTTTATTTTATATATAAAAAAAGTAACTCCACTACAAAAAAGTGGAAATTAAAAAGAAGTATGAAATATTGCCTATTTTGAAAAATATTATAAAACATTACCAACTTTGTTAATATTAATATAAAGTAATTATAAGAATTAATATGGGGATAACTAGCAATTTTTTTTTTAATTTTCATATTTCTCCCACAAAATATCAAATTTTTCCATTAAAAATTTTGATCTGACAACTCTGTTCAGGAATGTTAAACTTTATTTAGCGGAAATTTTGATAATAGGAAACTTGATCAAAACATATTTTCGATGGTCTGAACCCGCTATGGTCCATATTACCTTAGATATGAGGGGTTGTTCATAAATCGGCTCCTGTCTCAAAATGTTCAACCTTACAATAGAATTTTTTAAAATGATGATGTGTACCTTTCTTCCATGTCCCTAGTCTCTAACTGTTGCCTTTTCCTTTCTAAGTCAGCAAAGATTTTGGTTGTATGAATATAGAGGGCGTGCTTAAACTTTAATTTTATTTCATTTTTCAAATATTATATATAAAAAATTTGTAAAAAAAATAAAACTTTGTCAGGTTGGGTTTCTTCGACTATTATGGGTTTGCCTTCCCTAGCCAATTGTTTCTTTTTGTCTTCAATCTATATATATATATAATAAAATGTAATTTTATTAAGACATCCTTAAAAAAAAATCATAAGCGGAATATTTGAAAACATGTTTTAGATGACTTCCGATTATCCTATCGATTTGCATTGATCATAATTTTTGTGAACGTTATGGAACGGTTCAGTGAATAGTTATGATCAGACTTGGAAGAATACCTTCCAGAATTTAGAAGCCTATTAACATTGATTGTTATATTTTTATGCAAATAGCCTAATTTATTTTTAAAAATTTTAAATGTAAAAATTCAATTCTTTGATATAATATCTTTAGATCTTTTACTGGATTTTTTTTTAAAAATAACTGGAAAGTTACAGAATAATCTTTCCAAATCATGTTCCCGTTTCGTTTTACTCCATGAAAACCCTTAGGCATTCGTTCCAAGCCTTTGATTATGTTGAAACAAAAGTAAATCGTAATTAAAAAAAATGAGGAAATATGAAGCCAATTATTTATCCAAATTATATTATAGTATTTAGGGATGAAAAAACTCTTTTTTAATATTTTTTTATATTCCCATTACAATCTTTATGTATAAATATAATCTATCAGTATTTTATTGCAAAATTTTTCGATATTGAAACAATTTTAAATTACTAATATTTTGTTAAATTTTTCAATAATCATAATTATTTTTATAACTCACTTCATTTTGTTAAATTTTAATTATAAATTAATTTAATTTTTTAGTATTTCAAAATTTTGTTAAAATGATTTTAATTATGTTTTTTTATATTGATTTTCCCTTTTATACTTTAAAAAAAAGATCATTAACAACACATCAAGAAGTTGTTTTTTCAAAAATAAATCTTTAAATATAAAAGTCCTGGCTTTGTCGTGGTTTAACTTAACATTGATACTTATTGTTGTTCAATCTAGTCTAGGCTAAACAGCTTTGAATTAGGATACTCTATTTTTATTTATATTAAGTGTTTATTGACATTGATATTTTATTATTCTTTTATTGTTTTTTCTCTCTTGCTTTTTAGGCTGTTTAATTATAACCAGGGTTGGCAAGTCGGTCAATTGACCAGTCAAATTCGGTCAATTGACTGGACAATTGACCGGAGGAGTATTTGATCTGTCAATAACGGTCAAAAACACTAAAAAATTTAAAGGAAAAATAAATTAAAAATATGTTTAAAAAAGGGAAAAACGGTGTAAATACATGTGATCACAATGTTTGCTTATTTTTTTGTGTCCACAATATCAAGAGGAGAACTCGTGTGATATAATTCAAGAATTGTCTATTTTACAAGGTAGTGATGACCAAATTATTTTAAGTGATATAATTAATTTCAGAAGCAAAAACAGCATGTTTAATATAGCAAATTATGTGGAAAGTAGTAATTTCCAGAAACAATCTATTCCGACCTCAAGTTAATAGATTAAACTTTGTCCACCCTGCCCATTAAGAAACTAACAATTCCTAGTTCTACTTTTTCTTTAGAAAGAAATAGGTCGATTTGGGTTAATATTCTTATGAAAATAGAAATCGATTTAAGATCTAAGACATCAGGAAAATTGATTAAAAAATATTAAAGAAAATGATAATATTGAATATGAATCAGAACAAAACTCTGCTACAGATAGCTACACGTTAGTTATTGAATGACAATGAATTTAAAAAATTAATTATAGATTCATTTTACTATTATATTCAAAATAAAGTTAATATTAACTTAAAAAAACATATATTTGAATTTGACCACATTTGACCGGTCAAATACGTTTGACCAAAACGCATTTGACCGGTCAAATGCACAACCCTGATTATAACTGGCTGTTTAATAATAAAATAATCCAAACTGGGACACATCTTAATTACTAATTTTTTTCCAGTAGTTCATAATTATGACAAAATAGTGTGAATTAATATTATTACCTCAACATTGCTTGGTTATTTTATCTCTAATAGTTAATAATGGTGGCAAAACTTTGTTGCAATTTTAAATTGTATTTGTTTAAATATTTATCTAAGAATGTAGTAATAAAATACTTTCCTAACTCTCTCTTTCATAATTATCCATTATATGTGACTTACATCTTTTTTGTAAACAAAGCCTTTAAAATATTTTTTAGTTTTTGAAATTTATCAATGTCATCAAAACATAATCAACATTCACTAACCCCTAACATTTAACCACAAATATTTATTCTAATTTTACAACCTCTTTGATACAATCAGTGTAAGCTAATCAACCCTTTTTTGGACAATCAAGAAGATATTATAAAAATCTATTTGTTTCCTATTTTTATTTCACTAACCTCATAAAAAGGATACAAATTATAGATAAAATAATAATTTATAAATCATTTTTAAGCCTTAGAGGGCTGGTATAAAAATATCACCTGCAAAAATTCCAAATTTTACTATTTTTCCTTTCTCCTTGATTAAATACAGTGGCGTAGCTACGGGGGTGGTTTTTGGGTTTGGACCCCTCCCAGAGCAAAATTTTATTTTTAGATTATACGTTCAAAATCTAAGTGGTGACTTTATATTAAATAAATACCAATATTATTTATATTTTTCTGGTTTTGATGTTTGTGGAAGGATATTATATTACTATTGAAATTATTCTGGATAGTATTATTATAAAGTCATTGAGAATAATCTACTAAATTATAAAACAAATTAAAGGGGGTCTGGGGGGGGGGGCGAAGCCCCCAGTTTTTATATGTATGGACCCCCTCTAAGGAAAATTCCTAGCTATGCCACTGATTGAATAACTCAATTTAAAAACATGAATAGTTATTTAATAAAATCAGGTTAGGCCAAATGACAGGTAGCCAGAAAAATTGTCTCCCATAATAGCTACTAAAGCAGGCAGTGATATACATTTTTAGCCTGCCAGCCACATAATGAAAGAAAAATATACAGGAAAAAATTTACCCCCACCCCCCCATAAATTTTAATATTGGTTCATACATTTATATATTGTAGAACTTTAGCTTAGTTACATTTTTAAACAATTTTGAATTAGTCATTATTTTAAATTGTTCAATTTTATTTATTTTTTCTCAAATTGTGGATGAGAAGAGAGTGGGGGATATGTAGGGGTAAATGTTTTATAAGTTTAAAATGATATTTAAAAGAAGGAGTTTATTTCTGAGTGATTTTTTACTCCTGTCCTGTTGGTTATACCAAAGATTTACTTGGTTCAACATTTTATATAGAATTATTAAACAAGCCAGGCCAAAAACATTTTAAATTCCCTGAGTTGTTTCTCTAATTCAAAATAATTTAACTAATTTATAATCTAAATAATTGTAAAAATTATTTTAAAGTATTTTAAAAAAATATTTTCTAAACTTACAAAATCTAATACTTTCAATTTAGCCTGCTCCACAACTTCATAGCAATTCTTTCTATTTTTTTCATCTTCTAGCAATTTCCAAGCTTTAGTCAATGCTAAAACAGATTGTCTAAGCTATAATAATAAACAAGTATTTAACCATCAAATGCTTTTTGAGCCCTTTCTAGATCATCTCTGTTTTTGTCAGGATGTAGCAACATTGATAGCTAGATATAACAAAATAAACTAAATATATATAATAAAAAATAATATTTACTTTTCTAAATTTTTTTTTAATTTCTTCCACTGAAATTTGAGGATCAATATCTAAGACCTGGTTTCGATATAAAAAGCAATAAAATTATTGTACTAATGATAAGACGTCATTACTGCAAATGGGTTCAAATTAAAATAAGTGGAACCAGGTCGAAGTAGTCTGTCAATTTGAGCTTTAGATGTCAACACCGAATCTATTTCCTCAATTTTCTTGACCTATAAAAATTATATAGGTGTAAGCAATCTTAAATTTATTTTACCTCTTTATAAAAAGAGTCAAAATTATCTGTTGCAAAAGACGTTGCTTGAGCCATTCTTCACAAGTCAGTTATTTAGAATGAATGAATGGCAGTATTGAAACACTAATATGTTCTCTTTGTATTGAGTTATTCTAATACTGAAGTTTATAGACGTAACACACAGGAGATAAAAAGCAAATAAAATATTTTCTGGGTTATTAAGCACATTGGTAAAATAATATTTTTAAAAAAATGGGCAGGTGAATATGAAATATTTTTCAGGCGAAATGAGTAACAGGCTTCTATTTAATAAAAATCATTTTTAATTCTTATTTTATAAGTTTAAGTAAAAAAATATTAAAATAATAAATAAAGAGCCAAACAACCATTATATTTTTAAACATTAAACTAGTGACTTAAACAAAATTTTTAAATAAATGAGCAGGTGAGTGCATATAAAAATAAATAATGGATTAAATTTTCCTAAATATGAGCAAATGGACTTAGCACTTACGCCAAAACCTACACAATGTTGACATCTACTTAGTAAAATATTGAGCACCACAGATTCTAACGTATTTTATCTCTGCAAAGGAATTTATTTATATATGATATGTATCTGCCTCTATTATTTACCTACTCTACCAGAAGTCTGCAAATGGCAAAATTTTAAGATCAAGCTCAATAGAAATTTAATTAATGCCCGGTACAGTTTCCTTGCTAAGGTTGTCTAGCTTTCTTAATGAATTCTGATATTTCGTAGAAATATTAATTAATATATTATATTATATTTAATTTCACCTTGTTCGGTTCAGGCTTTATATTTAAAAAAAATTATTACATACAAAACCCTCATCTAGTATGATTAAATTTTTTATTTAGCACATAAATGAAAAAAAAAACAGAAAGAAGTTTATATATTAAAAAATAATATTCCCACTAGTGTTGTTAAAAAGCTTAATTCAGGCGATTTTTAAAAACTGTTAGAAGATTATAACCAAAATAATATTATGTAAGCCTGGAGAATTTTCTCATAGATGGCTAAAAGGTTTGCATATCGCAAACAGCCTTTCCCTGTCATGGACTTTACTTGTCTTGCAAAGATTTGAGCAAAATCTAAGTATTTAGTAGGCGCTATTGTGTAGAGTGACAGAAATATTAAGTATGAACACTAAAGTTTTCTTAAATAAATGATTGTTACGAGATTAATTTATTTTATTTTGAAATAAATAATTTAATTTTATATAATATATTTTAAAATTTTACCTTTCTATCAAACTAAAAAATCAGGTTTATATAACAATTTTCATATTAATATATAAAAATTTATCTAAAAAAAATCAATCTACACAATTTATAAAAAATCAATCTATATCAACATTAAAAAAAACAATTTAAAGGTTAGTATTAATCGGTCATATCCGCATTCCAACCTTTAAAAAATGATCTCTCATCAGGTTTTTTATTGCATGTGAATCTTATCGTGCAGTCTGTCATAATCTTGGAAAATGATATTTATTTTGGTTGTTCATATGATTTTTTAAGTCGTTCATAAGTATGATTCTATCACGTTGGTTTGTTAATATCGTTCTGAGTACGCTGGCTCGTCGTCAAGCTCCGTCGTTATCATTGTCAATTTTACAAAATTGTTATTATCACCAATTGTAAAATTATCATTATTAAATAGGATTTCGGAATATATGAATAATTAGAGAATCAATCAAATTTGGATGTTAGAATAATAAAAGGATGATAAATCAACAAGATTGTTAGATAGCGTTTTTTTTATTTTTTATAATTATCTTCAATTGTAGAGTTTTAATAATTTTTTATTAATATTAAATTTTAATTATTTTTATTTTAAATTTTACTCCCTTGTTTTTCAATATATACAACTTTTTAATATCATAAATTATCTTTAATTTGTTCTTTCTAAAAAGAATTTTATTTCGCCTTCCATATCTAATAAAGATCTTCTTTGAAGATTTTTGAGCGAGATCTAGCTCAAAAATTTGAGCAAGATCTTTGAAGATCGTAAAATTTGAAGATCGTAAAATTTGAAGATCTTTTATTTTTTAAAAATTTTGTGTAACGATGCGATCAACGATCTTCAAAGATCTTCATGATATTTATATTTTTACCCCTTTATCCAGATGTTTTTCAATTTTATTAATATAATATTTCTTTTATGTTTTATACCTCTCCTCCTGCCTTGATGAAAGAAAAAAATATTGACACAGCATGTTTCTAAAATTTTTGATGGCTTTATTATTAGATTGCAAAATATTAAAAAAAGAGTGCCTACAAGAATATTTATTTTGATTGATATAAGAGTTAGTGAAATAATTTTTAAAAAATATTTAAAAATTTATTAAAAAGCTTCCTTTTCTTTCGAAATTTTAAAAAAAAAATAAAATTATAACTGTTTCCAATGAGAGTGTAGGTAGTGTTGCATATTATATAATAGTAAAGATGTGCTAAGCCCATATTTTAAAAAAATTGGGTTTGGGCTTTGTGGGTTCTAAAAAAAATTTTTAAAAATTCCGGCCAGGTCGGGTAGTGCCTTGGAAATTTTTTAAAATAAATATAAATATATGAATAATTATAAAAAATTAATTTTTGCTGGCTGTGCTGGTAAAAATTTTTTAATCGGGTTCGAGCCGGAAAACATTTTTTAAAAATTTTGGGTTGGGCTTGAAAAATTAGACCCTATGCAGATCACTTTAATACATTATTATAATATATTTTCCTCTCGCTAATTAATAAGTAATTACTATGTTTAAGATAACACATTTGCATTTTATATATCCAGTAATAAATTTTTATTTCATTTTTTTTTATATTTTTAAATCAAAATATAAATCTTTTTTTTTGTGAGTTTTAAAAATAATTTCCGGTATTGAAAAAAAGGAATCAAAAAAACAGACCGGTCTATGGGTCTTGGAAACTTTCTTAGAAAGTGTGTCAGCATACCCTGGCTTAATAAATTAGTATCGCTATGCCAATTCCCTTTACTACTAGTTCAGAATGAGGTGCTAACTTTCTTTTAATTTCATCGCTATTTTTTAATATTGATTTTTTAAATAATTTTAGAAATGTATCTATTGGACATATATATTTGATAACATTAGTTCCTAAATTTGATTGAGATAATTAGAATACTTTTGGATATTCGTATTATTTAAGGGGGGGGGAGGGGGATGTGCCTATTCTAAAGTCAAAATATAGTATAATTTATAATATCAATTTATACTTTTTATCTTTTATTAATTAATAAAGTTTAATAATTATTATTAAGGATAATTTATCTTAATGAGGGTCTGAACCCCGGGTCTGTGCTCAGAGCTGGTTTGGTCGATTTTTTAGACCCAAACCCCGGGTCTGGTTTTATACAACCAACCAATTAACAACACTTTAATATTAAGTAAAAGTCATGCTTTTACTATTTATTACGATATAAAAGCAAGTTGCGATTTTAAAAATAAAAGTAAAACAAAATTAACACTTTCCCAAGATGTCTAGGAAATGTCATAAAAACCACCAATAAAATCAGAATGATATGATATATTTGTCATTAGTTATTTTTTAAAATAGTTTACCAAAGAATTTTTTCTTCTAAGAGATATACTTCAAGATTTATGAATAATTTACCTCTTATTTGATAATTAATTTTTTTTACTTTATATACTCTAACTCAAAGCATTTTTAAATCTTTCTATTTCTTTTAAAAATATTTTAAAAACGGCAAATCCAGTCAATTATATAGATGGCACAAAAGTTTGGACATCTATCAGCGAATTGGCGAGGTTTAGGTTAGGTCATATTATTAATAGCATGCCGAGCCAAAGTGTTTATCAAATTCGTATATACTATAATTATATTTTGATGTTTATAAAATGAGATTATTGTACATTTTTAAAAAATTTTAATAAAATTTGAATATTAGATTGAAGAAATAATTTAAATATTTTTTATAAGCATTTCTAATTCTAAAAATCGGACGTTTTTGGCCAATTTGTTTGGATAACGTTATATGAAATCACTAGGTTTTATTTCGTTTATTTTCTGTAAATTGTTATATGCTAATGAAAATTAGTTTCCTTATAAGTGTCATCTTGAAACATTATATCTGTTTATAATTTTTTTTGCAAAAAATTATATATTTTTTTTATAAGCTTTAGCAAAATTCGAATCGAATCGAATATTCGACGAATCGAAACGAATAATGATTTTATTATTCGTACGAATACTAATAACGCAATTATTCGATTCGTATTTTCGAATCGAATACGAATAATAGTATTATTCGATTCAATTTGTTTTTTTGTAGGCCTACTTAAAACAAGTATGTGTCTAAAGTAAAATTAATTTTGATTTTTTTAGTATTTCAAAGTTTTGGTTAAGCCTTACATCCTATATATATAAATATTTTATTTTGTGTTTAAATTAATTGTCATTTTAAAATTAGTATCCCTTCACCTTGTAAAAATAAAATTTCATTAAAATAATTTTTTTTATTTATTCAAATAAAAAATAAGACATGATATAAAATTTTTAATTACAAATATTCAAATAAATATTTTATATAAATAAAAATCAAAATATAACGTTGTTTAATAAATTTTTATTAAGCTTGATTATAAAATATCGTTTAAAGTAGATTTGTCTAATCTGGTTCGTAAAGGCGTTACGATCAATCCTACGGCACTGAAGGATCTTTCAACCGACACTTGAGAACAAGGAGCAGCTAGAACTACTCGAGAGAGGGTATATAATTCAGGATCTTGATATTTTTTGGATTGCCAATACTGCAAAATAATCAGATGGCAATTTTTGGCCATATATTAAACCATTTATTTTGGTCTTCATATCGATACTTTCAATATTTTGGTATATTGGAGCATTCGCGCTTTCTCGCTCCAAATATAAATCCAGCCTTGTTTTTTTAGAACTGATAGGAATAACAGGAGAACAGGAGAGCCAATCAGAGATTGATTGTCTTTTGGCTTATTAAAGATTTGAATTTGTCTCCACGTAGACATCAGATGGTCCTAAAATAAATTTTTTTATATTTAATTTAAAGTCAAATATTATAAA